CAAACATATTTTCTTTTTACTTTAACTTCTTTTCACATTTTTATTTTCATATTTATTTATTTTTTTTAAATTTTCAGCCCGCAAGCCAGCCGTTCCCTTTTTCTTTCAAACATATTTTCTTTTTACTTTAACTTCTTTTCATATTTTAAATTATTATATTTATTCATTTATTCTTTTATTTTCAGCCTACAAGCCAGGCGATCCCAGGTCCCGGTCCCTCCACCAGTACCAACCACGACCCCTTACCAGCGCCATAAGGAGGTTACGACTCCCGGTACCCCAGAACTCGTTACCTGACCCGGTTTCCCAGTTCCCACCGGATGACCTCGTCCCAGCACTCGGCCCCGATGGAGATGAGGGAAGGGGGGGGAGGGAATTTAATAAGGTTCAAGTGGAACCTTTTACGAGGTTTATTTCGGGCGGGATATTCAAGGTGAGAATGAAGGGGTAGGGGTGGGGGTGGGGGGTTTGAAGGGGTGAAGGGGAGGGAGTGGGTTGGGGGCGTGGGTTGAGGGTGGGGGGTAGGAAGGAAGGGGAGGAAGGGGGGTTGATGGTACACACAATCATGCATGTATACACGTACACACATGTATATATATGTGTATATATATAAATAGAGAGAGAGAAGGGACGAGAAACTAGCAGAATGTACCAATAAAAAAACATAAAAAAACAACAACAAAAATACCAGTAAAAAAAAAAAAAAAATGCACACCAATAAAAAAAACGAAAAAACAAACACTCACACAAATATATAACAATAACATATAAAAAAAATAAATAAATAACAACCATATACTTTCTTCACGCCCAGGTCAACAACTACCAGCCGGGTGACAAGTTGCCGCCAGGTCGAGTCACTGACCTGGCCGTAGCGGTGATTCACCTTTTCGAGTCGAGTGTCACGCTGAACTGGACCAGTCCGGGAGATGACCTGTATCACGGGACAGGTAAGGGTGTATAGTGAATGGTGTGTTGGGTATAGTGTATGGTGTCGGGTATAGTGTATGGTGTGTTGGGTATAGTGTATGGTTTTGGGTATAGTGTGTGGTGTGTTGGGTATAGTGTATGGTGTGTTGGCATAGTGTATGGTCTTAAAATCATCATCAGTGTCATTAAAATCATCATCATCATCATCATCATTATCATCATCATCATCATTATCAGCATCATCATCAGCAGCAACATTAAAATAATAATCATCATCATTATCATTAAAATCCTCCTCCTCATCATCGTCATCAGTATCATTAAAATTATCGTCCTCAAAAATACCATCGCCACCACCATCACTGTAAGCATCTTCATCGTCATTATCATTATCACCACCACCACTACCACCGCCATCATTACCACAGTCATTACCAACGCCAACAACATCACTATCACCATCATCACTGTCATAATTATACTCATTATCATCTTCACCAACACCATCTTCATCTCTCATTATCACTACGATTATCATCACAATCACCATTATCCTCCATCATCATCATTAGCACCACCCGCCACCATCATCACCACCGCCACCAATCACCATCTCCACCACCAATCACCACCAACCACCCACCACCAACCAACCACCAATCACCACCACCCACCACCCACCACCACCAATCACCACCAACCACAACCAACCACCAATCACCACCACCCACCACCACCAATCACCACCAACCACCACCACCCACCACTAACCCATCTCTCCCTCTCCCCCTCAGCCAGCACGCTAGAACTGCGTTTCCACGAAATGAGCATAATCTATCAGGACTTTCAAAAAGGTCATATCGTCAATGAGTCTCACTTGACCTCAGGTGACCTTAACCCAAGACCAGCCGGTGACCCCCACGTTATCACGGTGAAGGTAATGTAGAATGGTGATGGTTGATGATGATGATGAAGATAGTGATGGTTGATGGTGTTGGAATGGTATTAATGAAAGTAATTATAATGCCAGTATCATAGATAATGATGATAATGATAATTATGATTATTGCTACTATCATTATTATTATCATCATCATTTTCATCGCCATCATTATTATTATTACTGTTACTATCATTATCATCATATTTTTTCACTGTTATCATTATTATCAGTATTGCTATTGTCATTGTTATCATCAGTATTTTTGTTATAGTTATAATTTTTTATTACTAATGTCATTATTATTATTATCATTATTAACATTGTTGTTGTTGTTTTTATTATCATTATTATTATTATAATCATTATTATAATTATCATAATTATTGTTATTATATCCTTATTATTATCATCATCATAATTACTACAACTACTATTATTATCATCATAACTTTTTTTTTTGCTGTTATTATTATTACTATCATCATTATCATTATTGTAATTATCTCAGATTCCTGGTCGAAGTGTTGACAGCTTGGAGGGTCGTCCATTATTCTTCGCTCTCAAAGCCCGTGACGAAGTCGGGAACTCAGGCACTCTTTCGAACATTGCTACTGCTTATTTCCCTCTAAAGAAATATACTTATAATTTGGAGGTAAGGATAACGGTGTCTAAATAGGCTGTCGTTTTTTTAATGACTTTGTTTTAGTATACTGTTGTTGTATTTTCTCTTGACATGCATCGTGTCATATCAATAATTGAATGCATTTTTGGTCATGACTTCAACCTGTTCGTATTGCAAAATTATTTTTTGTCATTAGAATGGCCTTTAGAAAGAACTTCATTTTTCAACCTTGCAAGACTTCTCATTTTTCGTTTAAAAATTCGCCTCGAACTTTTGCCGTTAAATAATTTTCAAAAAAAACAATAGTTTGGCGATGCGATTTTCATATTTTTTCTTATTCATTCGACAGTCCTTTGTTTCAAAGTTAATGGCGAACTTAAAGCGGAAAGTTATATCGAAATTCAAACATCCAAGCGCTTATAAGAGTCAGAATATAAATTGACGGGCGTTATTGCATTATGATTAAATATAAAAGTATTTATTTTATATATTTTTTATGATCATTTATGAATGCAACGAAGAATAGTTACGCTGGATGTAAATTTGGAACAAAAAAAAAGTGAGCGAGAGAAGAATAGTCACTCCAGTCACTTGTTCGAAACCAAAGAAAAAAAAAGAGAGAGAAAATGAAAAGAATAACCATTAAAGCGATTTGGTAAGTATTTCGGTTACAAACAAAATTTACTTGTTTTCGTGTAATGTCATCATTAATTAAAAAAAGAGAAGGCAGTTGGAAGGGCGCACACGATTGTATTTTAGAAGTTTGTGGGCTCAATCTAGAATCTAGATTATAATCTAGATTATTTATATGTACGTTTTATTATTTCTTTTTTTACAAATTCATCTTATATATATATATATATATATATATATATATATATATATATATATATATATATATATATATATATATATATATATATATATATATATATAGTGAAGATTGAAGAGAACCAATTTAAGTTAAAATGGTTAAGATTATTTTTCCCTTACGTCATATAGGCATGATATCGCACTAAGAGGAAAGACATTAAGAGTTCTTTTTATATTAAACAAAACTCCAGGTTGTTAGCTTTCTCTATCTTTCTGTCTCTGTCTGTCTATCTGTCTGTCTGTCTGTCTCTCTCTCTCTCTCTCTCTTTTTGTCTCTATCTCTGTTTCTCTTTCTCTCTGTCTCTGCTCTCTCTCTCTCTCTTTCGCACTCTCTCTGTTTATCTCTATATATCCCGAAACTGCCTATCTCCTCCCCAATTCCACTATGCATTCTCAATACTCTTGAAGGAAAAGCTATTTGCATTCACTCATATATCCCACGTCTGCCAATACTGACAGAAGGGATAGTTCTATAATGCTAACTGCAGTACTAAAAGGTCTACAGAAAAAAATAGATATATGTTACCATTTTTCAATTCTGTCGTAGTGGTACCCCTGATTTTACTTAAAGATGTCTTAAATAAAACTGATACCTAATTAGCAAATACTATATAATGCTATGTTAATAAGGTATGGCATGGCTAACTGGATCAGGTAAGGTCTATAATGGTATAGCTTGAAGGAAGAAATGTATAGCAACATAACTAAACGTAGGATAAAAATATGATATGTAGTATGCAGTATGTATAACTCACAGACATAGTCAAACTTATATCAGTTTGCGTGTAACTCAACCACTACCTTTCTCCTAAAAAAAAACAGAGAACAAAAGAAAGAAAGAAAGAAGAAGAAAACAAACAAACAAACAAAGTCTTGGAGATGTTAAAAGATGGAAAGAATTCTGGTTTGAATGTATTGGCTGTAACATCGATTAAAGACTTGTGTTCTGTGACGTATTGTGATACAAAGTGATTTTTTTTCTTATATCGACTAGATGGGTTTATCAAATAAGGTAAGTACTGTATACCTACCTTTCTTGTGTTTGGCTGACTGTTCTCTTGGGTCAAAAGATGTTTCAAGTTGATAGTGTAGCAAAGGTATCTTTACCCTGGCTGTTCAGATCATATCTGTGTTTGTCTCTGTCTGTCTCTTTCTCTGTTCGAGAGGAAAGCGAGAGAAAGAGAGAAAGAGAGAGAGGAGAGAGAGAAAGAGAGAGAGAAAGACAGAAAAAAAGCGAGAGAGAAGGAGAGAGAGAGAGAGAGAGAGAGAGAGAGGAGAGAAGAGAGAGAGAGAGAGAGAGAGAGAGAGAGAGAGAGAGGAGAGAGAGAGAGAGAGAGAAGAGAGAGAGGAGAGAGAGAGAGAGAGAGAGAGAGAGAGAGAGAGAGAGAGAGAGAGAGAGAGAGAGAGAGAGAGAGAGAGAGAGAGAGAGAGAGAGAAGAAAGAGAAAAAAAGAGAAAGAGAAAGAGAAAGAGAGAGTAAGAGAAGAGAGGGAGAGGGGGGGAAGGGAGGGGGAGAGGTAGGGAGAGGGGGGAAGGGAGGGGGAGAGGTAGGGAGAGGGGGGAAGGGAGGGGGAGAGGTAGGGAGAGGGGGGAAGGGAGGGGGAGAGGTAGGGAGAGGGGGGAAGGGAGGGGGAGAGGTAGGGAGAGGGGGGAAGGGAGGGGGAGAGGTAGGGAGAGGGGGGAAGGGAGGGGGAGAGGTAGGGAGAGGGGGGAAGGGAGGGGGAGAGGTAGGGAGAGGGGGGAAGGGAGGGGGAGAGGTAGGGAGAGGGGGGAAGGGAGGGGGAGAGGTAGGGAGAGGGGGGAAGGGAGGGGGAGAGGTAGGGAGAGGGGGGAAGGGAGGGGGAGAGGTAGGGAGAGGGGGGAAGGGAGGGGGAGAGGTAGGGAGAGGGGGGAAGGGAGGGGGAGAGGTAGGGAGAGGGGGGAAGGGAGGGGGAGAGGTAGGGAGAGGGGGGAAGGGAGGGGGAGAGGTAGGGAGAGGGGGGAAGGGGGAGAGGGGAGGAGGTGTGGGAGAGGGGGGGAAGGGAGGGGGAGAGGTAGGGAGAGGGGGGAAGGGAGGGGGAGAGGTAGGGAGAGGGGGGGAAAGGGGGAGGGGAGCTAGGTGTGGGAGGGATAGGAGGGAGGTGTGGGGAGGGGGGGAAGAGTAGGGAGAGGGGGGGAGGGGAGAAGGGAGGGGAGAGGGGGGAAGCGAGGAGGAGAAGGATGAGAAGGAGCGAGGAATAGGGAGAAGGGTAGAGAGAGGGGAGAGGTGAATGGGGAGGGGTGGGAGAGGGCGGGATAGTGTGGGGGAGGGGAGAGGGGGTTGGGTGGTGTTGAGGGGAGGGGAAAGTGATGGAGACGGTGAGTGTGGTGAATAGATGTCGCTTGGGGCGTGGGGTGGGAGGGGAAGGGGGGTAGGTATGTAGGTAAGTAGGTAATCGAAGTAATGAATATGCAAATGATGAAAGTTGACGGCCCTGTAAGTGATGAAGGTGATGAGTCTGTAGACAAGAGATGGTATTTGTGATGATAGGTTGTTTAGTCTGTATTTTATCTATTTTTTTTAATGGTGAGTGTGATGAAATTTGGGTTAAAGAGGTGATGATGTGGTTATTAATACGATAATAACGATGATGATTATTAATGACTGTGTTGAAAAGATAGTGCTTTTTCCCCTCCTTTTTGATGGTGATAAGTGATGAAAATTTGATTGAAATTGTGGTGATGATGAACGGTTATGTCACGTTAATTTTGTAGTGATGACTGTGATGATGAATCCGATGAAGGAGAAATAAGAGGTGAGGCGTAAACCTGTCCCGTTCATCTGTGATGTGATGACTTTTTAGTGATGACTGGGGCAACGTTGATGACTAAGAAAAAAAGTGTTATGCGCTTTATAACTTTGGTTTTACTAAGTGATGACAGTCATGAGTCTGTCAACGAAAGAGGAAGTGGTGACTTAAGTGATGACTGTGATGACTTAAAAAAAAAGTACATTGCCTTCACTTGTTTCCATGGTGATGACGGTGTGATGACGTCATAGTCACAGTGATAAGACACAAGTAAATGTGGTAATTAGTGAACAAGTTAAGAAGATCCCCGAATGAAAACGATAAAAAAAGAAACTGAAAATAAAATAGAACAGAGAACAATGATACGTACAAAGGACGTTTATTATGAAACATTACTGGAACAAAAAGATGTGTGAGACGTTTTTTTTTTGTAATAAAGAACTTTTGTAAGTGGAAGTTTTGTATCTTTTAATATCTTTTGGTGAAGCAAGGCCGGAGAGAAACCAGGTTAAAGGATTTCAGAGAATGAAATAAATAAATAGAGAGAGAGAGAAAGAGAGAGAGAGAGAGAGAGAGAGAGAGAGAGAGAGAGAGAGAGAGAGAGAGAGAGAGAGAGAGAGAGAGAGAGAGAGAAAGAGAGAGAGAGAGAGAGAGAGAGAGAGAGAGAGAGAGAGAGAGAGAGAGAGAGAGAGAGAGAGAGAGAGAGAGAGAAAGGGAGAGAGAAAGAGAGAGAGAAAGCGAGAGAAAGAGAGAGAAAGAGAGAGAAAGAGAAAGAGAGAGAGGGAGAGGGAGGGAGAGAGAGAGAAAGAGAGAGAGAAAGAGAGAGAGAAAGTGAGAGAAAGCGAGAGAAAGAGAGAAAGATAAAGAGAGAGAGAGAGAGAGAGAGAGAGAGAGAGAGAGAGAGAGAGAGAGAGAGAGAGAGAGAGAGAGAGAGGAGAGAGAGAGAGAGAGAGAAAGACAGAAAAAAAGCGAGAGAAAGAGAGAGTAAGAGAAAGAGAGAGAGAGAGAGAGAGAGAGAGAGAGAGAGAAAGAGAGAGAGAAAGAGAGAGAGAAAGAGAGAGAGAAAGCGAGAGAAAGAGAGAAAGAGAGAGAAGAGAGAAGAGAGAAAGAGAGAGAGAGAGAGACAGAGAGAGAGAGAGAGAGAGAGAGAGAGAGAGAGAGAGAGAGAGAGAGAGAGAGAGAGAGAGAGAGAGATAAATAGACAGATAGAGAGAGACACAGAGAGAAGAGAATATATATGTATATATATGTATATATATATATATATATATATATATATATATATATATATATATATATATATATATATATATATATATATATACACATATATATACATATATACATATTTTTATTCGTAGTTCCTAATTAATCATCAGCAGCAATAGATACTATAGCTTTCCAATTCACAGATGCTCGAAGAACCAGAGTGGGATTCCTTAAGTCCGATTCGAAACTCTTCTTTGGCGCCCTTTCAGTCCGTCATTATTTGCAGTTCTTTTTTTCTTTGATAATTTGGTAATTATAATAATGATAATAATAATGATAATAATAATGATAACACGAGTAATGATACTGATGATAATAGTGATAATAAAAAATGATAACGATA